AAAAAGTTTGAAAACCAAATCATCCTTAAATGTAAAAGGCTACATTCTCCTATCAGCACAAATACAACATATCAAATTCAAATATTTTGCTGGCATCTAAAAACGAGATGCGTATGGACCTAAGTTCTTACTACACAAATCATTTTACAGTGACTCACCATGCGTAAGCTTTCAAAGTCATTTTCTTTAGAATGCCAGTCTTTGTTTTAAAAAAATGTCTAAATCTGTTCATCCTAAGTACAACCTTAGAAAATCAGAAAAGGTTTCATACCTGATTCCCCTTGTCATTTTTTACAATGACACAAAGCTACCTTTGTCAGCACCAGCTTAAAAAAACACACACACAAAAAAAAAATTACTGAAAGTCAGCTGTTTAGAAATGATACTGCATTTCCTCATTGAGACAATGCTATAAATGGTAGTAAAAATCCTATAAAACCTACTTAACTCCTAATGCAACTGATGTGTGTGTGGTACTTGTTAAGTCCTCCAATTCCTCCTTCATTCCTGGAAAATGTTTCGGCACATTTTAAACATCTTGTACTGCAAATATTTGGTCAGCTGATTTTGCATGAACATTCCCGGAGAGAAACAAGAGTTGACTCACTGCACACTATTACAAAAGCCTCTTAACCGGTCTCCCAATCTCCAGTCTCTCCCTCTGAGATTCTAACAGAAAATGAGATTAGGTCACACCCCTACTTAAAACCTCCACTGCCCAAAGAACTTCCTACAGGGTAAAGTCCAAACACCTTAGCTCCGCCATAGAAAACTTCCCAAATGGTACCCAACTACCTTAGTTGGATCTTCCATCCCTCCCTTTTATAGTCTGCATGAAGTCATATTGACATTTTCATTATTTTCTAACAAGTCATGTTCTTTCATACATGCCCCACATACTCTTGCAAAAACTTTCTTCTGCTTAGAATATATTCCTACTATTCTACTTGAAAAACCACCAATGTAGCCCAGTTCAAATATCATTTTCTCTATAAATCCTTCCCCAACATCTCTCTGATGCACTTGGCATATTTGGTCACCTTCTGCCCCTCTACAAGCAATTGTGTGGTGTTTATAGTAGTTCCATAAACGTTGGCTACATTTTGAAGAGGCATACACATGCTGAAGTTAAGGAGCTGGCCAAAACCACACTTAAAGACCATCAGGATATTCCATTCATCTATATGCAGGTCAGTAATAACTGACAGTTATACTAACATTTAAAAATAGTCTTACTTATATTTACAAACACACACAAAAAAATCAGAGATTAATGAAACTCCGGATGTATAATCATCTCCACCTTAAACACTGGTGAATGTTAACCATCTAGAATACCGTCGGAAAAGTAGTTTTAACCAGAAGAAATTTGGCAACTTCCCATTCAAAACATTTTCAGAGTTCACCATTTCCACACTGGGGCAAATTTCCTTAATTTCAAATGAAGCAGCCAAAGATAAGGAAAAAAGTAATTAGTTTCCTGAAGGTCAACAGTCCTGTGATGAAGTCTTCTATTATCACCTTTGAATAACTCAATCAATGATTTAGTAAAAACTCCCATTTCCATCATCTTCTGTCGCTGATAGAGAAACTACAGCCATATAAACAATTATCTCATACAAATCCAAAATAAATAAAGAACTTGTTTCCAGAAAGACGCCAGCGTGCTGACAATTTGCTTCCACTAGGTTTGGGTACCTCCAATACAAATATCTTACATAGTCAAAGGCAGTTTCACAATTCAAAAACGACTTCACACAAATGATTGAATTCCTACAATAATCCTGTGAGTTCAACAGAGCAGGGATTATCTGTCCGGATTTAAGACAGTATGAACCCAATAAAAACACAGATTGTTTAAAACCGGTTTGGCTATCGAAATGCAGCACGTTGTTTACAAAATAAAGTATTCTTACTACAAAAATGTCCCAAGATTAATGAGCGTTCCCCACCTACCCTCCACCTTTATTGCACCACTAAATTTAGCTGTGTGGACTCAAGGATAACATTAACTCAAAATCTCTAATTATAACCTGCAGCCAAAGTTCCCTCTCACAGTCTCTTTCCAAGCGACAATAACTCCAGGAGTGGGAGCCAGCTCCCTCCCTGCAGGCGTTTGGAGACTGAACGCCCGCGGGCGCGCCCAGCTTACAGGGCTCTGGCCCTCCGAGGTCAGCGCCCGCCCCAGTGCGGGCGTCGGGGCGTCTGGGGGACCCGGCTCCGCGCGAGGCGGCGGGGGATGGGGGGACGCCCGGAACGGCTCCACCGCGCAGGACACGGAGGAAGCGGCGCCGGGCAGGGGACCCGGGCCAAGAAGGGCTTGGGGCGCTAGACCCCGAGCCGAGGGTGCGACCCCGGTCCGCACACACCTGGGCGGCCGCGGCCCCCGACTCCGGGTCCGATCGCCAGGTCGGGCCCCTCCACTCCCAGGCACCACAGGTTCACTCCGAGCGCCCCGTCCCGAGGAAGCAGTAGTCCCAACGGACCGGGGGGATGGACACCCACCTGGCTGCGCCCCACCGAGGACTGGGCCCACCAGGCCAAGCAACAGCAACCACTGGACGCGGAGGGCCCCAGAGGGTGAGCGGGCGCCAGACCCCATCTCGGCCGATTCCGCAGGTTCCTCTCAGCACTCGGTAGCCTCCGCCTCCGCCTCTTCCATCATTTTCCAACCCTGCCGGGGCCCCAAGGCCGGCCGGGAAGCGCGCGCACGCGCCCGGGGACAAGCACGCGCGCGGCACTGACGCAACTCAGCCCTCGGTCCGAGCTCGCTCCCGACATCGCCTCGCTGCGCTGACGTAGGGAAAAATCCAGTCCCCGGCGCAAGAATAGGATTTCTAAACCTGCCGCGGCCACCCGCACGAGCCGGCCCGCCAGTCATATCCGTCCCGCCCACTCAGCTCCCGGGCACGCCCACCATGGGGGTCGACGGATCCAATTGGAGGACGCAATCGGCGGAAAAGAAGGAGGAGCGTGAAACCCTTAAGAGAAATCGAGAAGCAGAAGTGGATGGCAGTGCAGCCCCGCCCATCTGCTCGGCTTTTTCTGTTGGTTGGCGGAGGTGGGCGGAGCGTCGAGTTGCGCGTCCATTGGCTGTTTGGCGGGGCTACGCGAGCCGGGCTGTACGGAAAGGCCTGACCACGCAGTGATTGGGTCTGTGCTGCCTGCCTGGGGTTGTTGTGGTCGTGGTCGGGTCTCCGCTCCAGGGCCGGGGAAAATGGTGCTGGGTGGTTGCCCGGTGAGTTACTTACTTCTGTGCGGCCAGGCAGCTTTGCTGCTGGGGAATTTACTTCTCCTGCATTGTGTATCTCGGAGCCACTCGCAAAATGCGACCGCCGAGCCTGAGCTCACATCCGCTGGCGCCGCCCACCTGGAGGGCCCCGCGGGTGCTGCGAGCTGGGAATATGGCGACCCCCAGTCTCCGGTCATCCTCTGCTCGTACCTGTAAGTGGTGGTCGAGGCGGGTGGCGGTGGAGGGGGTGCCAGCGATATGGGTTTTGGGGGAAGGTGGGGTGGAGGGGAGGCTGTGATTTTTCAGACCCTGGTCCTCGGAGAACCCAGTGTTCACATTCGGGAGCAAATATCGTGACCCAGGTTCACTACCCATGCAGGGAAAACTCTTGTGTGTCAGCGGCAGAGCCTTTGGGATCCCGAAAGAGGAGAACTGGGAAGGAGTAAGAAGGGCGTGAGGTTGTGCTTTCTCTGTCCTGTGCCCTTTAGCCCAAGAAGAGTATTGGTTGAATCAGTGCCAGTACTGAATAAAGCATAAATGAAGTAAATGACTTTTCTCTGCCTACAAGACATTTTTTAAAGCAATCAATATCCTTACCGTTGCAGAATCACGCCATTTTTTAACCTCTCTTTTTGATCAAACAAGAAAAGGCATTTGAGAAATGCAAAGAGGACTGAGAATCCTTTGCCTTAAATTTTGCCCCCAAAATCTTGTGGTTGGTTGCCTACTGAAGAGATGAAAGAAACCATGTCAGAAGTAGAATCCTTATAGAAATAGGACCAGAAACACCTCCCTTCTCCAACAAAAGGTTCATTTGGGTGGCTGTCCATTTGACCTGCTGTGCTTCACTTTAATTGGCTTGGAAAGGGATCAGCAGAGTGAAACTGAACCCTAGAAAATTTGGTGAAGAAATGTCTTTTGCCTTTTTTGATTACGTGCATGCAAACAGCGATTTGCAAATACTGTATGATGATGATGATCATGATCTTACTGGTGAATTACAGACCTGATGAATTTATAGAATGTGAAGACCCAGTGGATCATGTTGGAAATGCAACTGCATCCCAGGAACTTGGTTATGGTTGTCTCAAGGTGAGTTTTTGTTTGGTTGTAAGAGCAAACCCTTCCATAAAGAAATAGTAATGTCTAAATGCTGTTACATAAAAGTATAAGAGGTACAAAGTTTTTTGAAGAATTTTGTCAGAAAGACTGTTACTGGAAATGTCTAGCATGGCCAAGGTCAGTGACTGAACAAGACATTTGGTTTCCTCATGAAGGAGCACTCTCAGTGCCAAAACCACCCAGGTGCAAAGACCAACCTGTCTTTGGTTCCTTTGGCCATTGACAGATTTTGAAACTAAAATGTCACCCCTGGCTCCCCTTCAAGGCACGCACCTTTCCTGAAAGAGCAAAAGAAAATCTATGCATTTTCCAACACTGATGATGGATTGGGCAGTATCTTTGTTACACATGCATCTGGGGCAGAGCTTCTCTTGCCAGTGACATTTCTTTTCTCCAGGCAAGCAGGTTCCACCATGTCCTTAGGAGATAGATAGGGCCTATCAGTATGTCTTTGCAGGACATTAAAGCATTCCAGGGGAAGCCGTTGGTTAACAGTGGCTTCTTGGAATGGAAACAAGCTATTAAGTTCCATTAATAACATCCCTAAAGCTGGGTGTGTACATTCCTAATCAATCTCTAAAAAAAATAATGAAGTTATGTATCTTCTCCCCACCATGGACTCACCATCCTGTTATGCTTCATAATGCAAGTCAAAACTCAGTCAGGTGTTAAGAGGATGATGGGAAAGCATTTTTTGTACTAACTCAGACACAGGGCCCAGGCACAGTGGCTCATTGCTGTAATCCCAGCACATTGGGAGGCTGAGGCAGGTGGATCACCAGGTCAGGAGTTCGAGGCCATCCTGGCCAACATGGTGAAACCCTGCCTCTACTAAAAATACAAAAAAAAAAAAAAAAATTCACTGAGTGTGGTGGCCTGGGCCTATAATCCCAGCTACTTGGGAGGCTGAGGCAGGAGAATCACTTGAACCCAAGAGGCAGAGGTTGCAGTGAACCAAGATCGCAGCACTGCATTCTAGCCTAGCGACAGAGCAAGAGTCCGT